CTTTTTATCCTCTATGTGCATAGCAGAAATTTGGATTCACAGGGAATCAGATGTACCTATTACCCCAAATAGGATACTCTCATGCATTTATATAACAGTGCTTTAAAAATAAACGCTCTTTTATTTCCTGCATGTAGAAATTAAGCAATAGAATTATGTTTCCAGCTATGTTGACTGTCAACGTTTATAATTATCAGAGCAACATAATTAGAGTCTTTCCTCAGTTCAACCTCAGCTAATCAGTCTAATAACTACCCCCAAAAAGGAAGAGTATGTCATACGGAGGGAGGGTGCTAAATGTGCAAATATGGAACTTTTATTAATTCAATGTTATTATTTTGTTTTCAAACTATTTCTTATTCCTAGAAGTTTATATTCAGCCAGTTGAAGTCTAGGTAATTAAAGAAGATACTTAACTGAGCTTAAGCTCATTTAAAGTCTCCTCATCCATCTTGGACTTCAATTGCCTCCCAACCATATTCATTCTACCTAGTAGAGGATAATTTTCTCTGATAGAGAGAACAGAAGGAAAATTGATTTGTGTAGCTTTATAGTCCCTTCCCCGCTAATGGTCTTCTTCAGTTACATTCTTCTCCTTGGTTGTCTTTATCATTTTTCCAAGCATCAGTCCATGCAGAATTTTGGCCCCCTCTAGCATATTCTACTGTTTTGTGCCATTTTCTTAATTGCTAAAGGGTACATGCACTCACCATAGAGACAGGAGAAGAAGAAAGCACCTCCCAGTGGTATGTGGTCATACCACAATCCCTTTTATTTTATTTTTCTATTTTGTCAGGATTTTGTGCATACACACACACACATACACACACACACACATGCGTGCACACCCAACGTGTTTTTCAAGCTGCAGGGGAAATAAGGAAGTAGAATTCAAACTGTGGTTGGCCATGTGGGATCACACTCCCTTAACAACTAAGCCATGGGCCAGCCTCAAATTTTTATATCTGCATTGTGTTATGCTTTTCTTCTATCTTCAGTTCATTTTTGTTTCCTTGGAACCAGGCCTTCACATGACCTTATAAAGGAGAAAGGCTTTTCTCTAATTGTAATTCTGCTTCTTCCGATTCCTCTGTGGTCATAACAAAGCCTTTCTTGCCAAAAGGCCGTGCAGTCATAACCTTACACCAACTAATCTATCTTGCTGCTAGTTTCTGGCAGATGATATACAGGAACATTGATCATTCATTTCAACAGAAATTACAATCCCCAGGGATTCTTCTCACCCAAGTTGTGCATGTGACTCCAGACAAGATGCCGGATTTGGAGTTCCACGAAAAGATGTTATCTGAAGGCACACAGAGATGCAGTTACTGAGCATATAGAATGCTTTCTATTGCTCTATATTATTTCTGAGATCTCTGTAACATTTTGGCTTTTTAACCTTAGCCTTTAAATCAATAATGAAATGAAGAGCAAGGTTTCATCATCTGTGGCAAAACTACTCTAAATATGTTCTAAAACTTGCTTTAAAAATTTCCCATTTATTGATCTAAGTGATGCAGATACTTTTAAAAAGTGTTTCTGTAAAACAGTATCAGAGATAGTATATGAGCTAAAACTAAAGCTAAGGCATTGCTAAGGGAATCTCTGTTACCCTGGGATACTAATTAACTCCAAATATTACATATAAAGTAAGCCAGCAGCTACCAAAAGAAGCAACATGTAGAAAAGTAAAAAAACTAGGAACATATAAAAGAAAAGTACTATCTTCCGATTGAAAAGCATAGCAGAACCCTTTTCTCTCTAATCCAGTATTCTTTTTCTAGTACCTTCTATGCTTTCCTTTTTCATTTTCTTTTCTCCACTCTGGCAGGTGTAATTTATTGAGTAGGGCAACTAGGGAAAAGGGTTTCTTCCTATAAAAGCCTGCTCTCCCTGGTGTCTGTATGTCTTTCTGTCTCTTTTTTTGTTAAGAACACTTAACATGAGATCTACTCAATAAATCTTTAAGATCGCAGTACTGTACTGTTAACTATAGGCAGTGTGAAACTTCATACCAGTTAACCAACATCTCCCCACTTTCCCTCCCCATCTCTAGTCTCTGGCAACCATGATCCTACCTCCACTTCTATGAGTTTGACTATTTTAGATACGTCACATAAAGTATTTCTCCACCTGCCTGGCTCTTCCACTTAGCAGAATACCCCCCTGAGCTCATGTTATGTTGTTGCAATGATAGGATTCCCTTCTTTCCTGAGGCCGAATGATATTCTATTCTATGTATATGCCACATTTTCTTTATCCATTCATCTACTGATAGACATTTGGATGGTTGGATATTGCAAATAATGCGTAATGGACATGGGACTGCAGATATCTATTCAAGATCCCAATTTCTATTATTTTGGATATATGCCTAAAAGTGTGGTTTCTGGACCATATGGTAGTTTTGTTTTTAATTTCTGGAGGAACATCCATGATGTTTACCACCGTTGCTACACCATTTTATATGCCCACCAATGGCGTACAGGGGTTTCAATCTCTCCACATCTTCACCGACACTTGTTATCTTTTATTTTATTTGAGAATAGTACCCTAATGAGTATGAGGTGGTATCTCATTGTGGTTTTGATTTGCCTTGTCTCTGTGACAGAAGCTGCTCTCTAGATAGATGATGCTCTCCTAGCAGTGTTCTTAAACTTTCCAGGGCATGAGAATCCCAAATACCTCTTCCGGAGATTCCGATTCAATACATCTAGGGCAAGGTCTTGAAATCCGTATGTTTAACAAGTGTCCTAGGTCATTCTTACAAGCTAGTGAGTTTGGAAAACACAGTCTCTCCCCCCAAGAATGAGACACAGTCCCTGTCCCTGCAGTGAGATGCTGACAGTCCTCACTGGGTACATTCAATTCAGTGGGGAAGTCGTTAATAATTGAAGCACCAGCAATCATCCCCCCTTTTCAGATAGCTTTAATAGTCTCACTGTTAAATGTTTTAAATTTAACTTTTAGAATGAAGAGCTGACTTTATTTTTAATGTGCAAATATAAGTAGACTGAACACTTATTTTAGGTAAACCCAACAGGGCCCGATTTACCACTTCTAATCTGGACTGCACTATAACCACTAACCAGCACTTTCAGGTAACAGCAGCACCCTAATCCCAGGTTTTGTTTAGAACCTAACAACCTTTCTGACCCTCTTGATAACTGAACCAACCACTGAAAATCATCGTTCCATAGCCATCAGCAAGAAACAAAATGGCCAAAATAAACATACCAGCTGTGCCTCCACTCAGCTTCCACCCAATCCAGATATTTAATGGGTTTGTACAGAACTTTATTGTGGTCAAGTAAGCTCTTTCTTTAAACATTCATGTGTCCTAAAAAAGGGTTATAGAGACCTTTCTGTTTAAGTCTAAATTCATATTCATGCCATAATCATAGCCCTCTGGAAAAATGAAAATATGTGTCTGTTATTTGTGACTTATTGTCCTATCGTTCAAAGATGCGGCCTATTAGCCATGGTCAAGTTCAGACCACAGATTGAGTAGCCTGAGGCATCAGGGGCTATTAGTGTCACCATGTGTGATACTAATGAATTAAGTAGCCTATTACATGTTCTCCATAAACACTTTATCAAGAATATGAAGTCAGTAAGGCCACATCATGCTCACTCACCCTTAATTTATATTAAGGGGCTGCTCTGAGAAAATGAAAACATCCCTTTTGCAATATTAGGATGTTTCCACTTGTGAAATAACAAATTATTCATGAGTGTCATGGTTCTGAATTCTATTTTTAAAATCTGACCTTGAGCTTCTTTGCCAATTGCTAGCTCCTATTTAACTACACAGAGCTTTTCATTTCTCTTGATCAGTTGCACACATTTGCTTATATTCCTTGGCCAAAAGTTGAAATTATCTAAGAAATTCTCATGAGTCAGCCATCATTCAATAATGGATTTTAGAAAGGTTTCTCTAAGTAGCCTAGAGATGATGCTTAAATGTATGTGATTATGGAGGAAAGAGATGAGAAAGGAGAGGAAATAATTGTGTGAGAGAGAAATAAGTAAGGCATCATTCATTTACAGACAAAACGACTCACACCAAACCTTCCATGACCAAACTGCTATTTTCTTAGAACCTTGGTTAAAAAAATAAAATAAAAAAAAGACTCTAAAATGGCACCACATTTCCCAAAGTATGTGCAAATGACACTGAACTGAAGATGGGGAGCATGATTTTGAGTCTAAGTAGGCTCTCATGCTGATTCTCCCTGGGTGTAACTTTGGATAATAACTTTACTTTCTTGCTTCAGTAAAATCTTCAGTCAAAAGGAAGAATAGAAATAAATGTCCTACCTCACACAATAGGTATGAAGAATAGCTCTGTGACTAGTCTTAAACACAGTAGAACAGGCTATCATAAGTGAGAGCAAGTTCTCCTTAGTGGCAGTATTACTAGGAACCTTTATTCTTCCATGGAAATGAACCCAGCCGCTACCCCTAAACTCAACTAACCACAAATGCCACATGCCCAGATTCAAATACAGTATTTGAATGCCCTATATGATATAGGGGAGATGAGAAATGACCTACCATAGCCTTACATTCCCATAGAGGGATGCCCTGAGAGACACTGGTTTCCCACACGTTCCATTGTACATCAGGGTTCTGGCAACCAGACCTGCTTAAAAAAAAAAAAAACCAGAATACCTGGGTTGTTTTTTTGTTTGTTTGCTTGTTTGTTTTTCCAGTAAAACCATATAAAGACTGATGGTAGAGCATTCCTTCCAAGGCCAAGATTAAAACTGTGGGAAAGCAATGCACTAAACTGTCCACAGTAGTGGCCACAAACACAAAACCAAACAGCAGAAATAAATACCCTGGAAACTCAGCAAAACCTCATGTTCTTGATTTCTTCCTCATTTCTTCTTGGCAAAGTCAGACAGTACACAAGAAATATCTCTCTTAATGTAAGACTCTCTAGATAGGCCTGTTGGGTTCAATCACACCATTTAAAAAAGCAAGCATATATGAAAGATTAAGAGTCATTTTAATGTATTATTTCTGGTGTGTTTTCTTCTTTGCTAGAATGAGACTAAGACGAGAGGTGAAAAATAAAACTAGGATACTGAAGTACATAATACAAGATACAAACAAATCTACATAGAATTAGAGATCTTGATGAAAAAGATTGCAGTCCAAGTTCCTGCTAGTCTTGATACAAATGCAGTGTGTACTATGGCCTTGCACAAGCCTGTAGTTTCAAGTAGGTAGAGTACAATCATGGAAAGTTATGCTTTGTTATGATTTCTATTTCAAAGTCGAGCATACCTTGGTGGCAACAATCATTATACTTAATACAGGTAATTCAAACCAAGGAAAAGACACTGTGGAAAAAACACAAATATTTTACTCTACCTAACCTAGGAACTCCTACTGAACAACATGAATGCTGCATATTTATGTATTGTAGCCCATGGCTGTGAGAACTTCACTACAAAATAAAACCAAACATTGCATGTTACATTTAGTATACAGCATGCCTTTTCTGCTCAGTACAAAAAATAATCTACCTACCAAGCAGAAACTAGGACTGATGGTCTGTTAGCAGCAATGTAGCAGGATGTTGTTCATTTTTCTTTTTTGCCCCAAAATAAAAAATAAAATAATAACATCATTGAATACCCCAATTAAATCCCTCAGTCCAACTCAAAATTCATCTTCAGAGCTGTCAGCTAAGAGCATGACTCGATCTTGCATACTGTTGAATTCTCTCTGCTAGAATAAAAAAAGAAGAAAAGTGTTAAACTTTCTGCAGCAAAGCAAAGCTGAGAAACAGGCCTGCTTTAAAAGACACACTAACAAATGAAGCTGAGGCAGCAGCTGCAGCAGCTAATCCAAACCACTGGGCATGTCAATACTCTCCAAGCATCAGTAAGGCCCGTGTGCTTTATTAAACAAATTAGATAAGGGAAAAATATTCTGAAACTGACTAGGTTTTGTTTTTCTTGGTTCCATACCTTTCTTTTATGCCTTTTGAAGCCATTTCTCCTTCTGCGATTCATAACCTTAATGCTGTAGAGCGCTCCCAAGATGAACAAGGCTCCAGCTATCCCAACCCCTACAGGCACCAGCATCCCAGACATGTATCCAGCCTGCATAGAAAAGAAAAAGCACGCATGAGGATGCTAAGCAGACCACCACCCTGGGTTTCTCGTTTCTGCTGTATGGCACCAAGTGTTTAGACCATGAAATCTCCTCTCTGTTTTGTTATAAGATAAAGTAAAATAAAGTTACTTTTTAGGGAGAAGGCAACAGAGAGCGGTGGAATTATTTTTAGATATTTCAAATACTTAGAAGTAAGTATGGAAATAAATCAGCTAGACCTCATGGGACCTCCAGCCACTCGCTTATGCACATTTGTCAACATCAGTTTCTGGTGACAGAAATATAATTTGTATTAAAGATGGATGAAGTAAGCTTCTGCAATGTCAGGACCATTAAAATGCTATAAATTGGAAATATCAGCCTGAGTCAAGCTTCAAGGGGGTTGAAGTGTCCTCGGGAATACTGTGTTTCTTGGAGGTTAAAAGGAGGACCTTGACAGTGGTGTTTTATTTTTTTCTCTCTCTTGCATAGCTACATTACAGTAAGAACACACCGCTGAAAGTGCTTGCAAGTGAGTAAAAGGTAACAGCTTTGAGAAACAACAGGGAAAAAACAGTCTGCAAAGGAAAGAGGAGGAAGAGTTGACGTTGGGGCAAAGGCAAAAAAGATGAGAGGAGAGTGTGCGCACATACAATAGATGGATTAATTTCTATGTCTGGAATAATCTGCCCAGCGGACAAGACCAAAACTGGGAGTTGGGAGGAATTCTGGGTGTCCCCAGCCCCAAGGAAAGAAAATGAGAGCAAAGGGCACAAGATGGATGCCAACAATTTTGGTACCATCAAAAGAGCCTGGAGGTATCAAACCCCACAATGTCCCCAAGGCGTCACTATGGATACGTTAGTTCTAACTGAGCAGCAGAATCCTCAGTTATCCCTGAGCTTGAATGAATAGCTCAGGACTTGCCCAAGATTATCCCAAGAGGACAAGCTCATTGTACTAAGAATGGTCCCTGCACCTTGATAGACCAACCTAGAGCTCTTTCTTAGGGGAACATAGGTACTGGTTTGCCTTTCAACAAGCCTCTCCCCTAGAAGCCTATACATATATAAAATACATAAACAATTTAAAATTTTAAAAGCTGTAATAAGTACTCAAGACAGATATTTGGGGAAGGGGGTTAAGGACCATGACTCTTAATTTATTTGACTATTTCTAAAATTTCTAATATATCACCATATCTAATATGTTTAGAATGAGGCAAAAACAGAAAGGGATGGAAAACAAAAAAGCTTCCCAAAAAGTGCTGAAGTACGCAGCCTGTTACACTTCCCAACATTTCTAGCAATATATCAAAGGAATACAATACCCCTTACAAAACTGTAGCACCCTCCTCTGCTAATCAGCTCCCTCCCTGATTCTGCTCCCAGAATCTTAAATTCAGGCAAAATATGGAAATTTTTTCCATTAATTTGAGAACAATAGCATTGTTCATCAGCATACTAAGTGTTCTTCCCCAAGAAACAAAGCCCAGCCATTTTTCAACAAATTAATATGCTTTATGGAAGCCCAAACTCTTTCTAAAGTTCTCCCAGATCTACTTAAGACACAAAAATTCTTGTAATTTTCCATGTAGGAATACACTGGAAAATAGCAAAATTTTTGGTGCTCTCACCAAATCTGTGAATATTGTTTTTAAATAATCACTATTCCCACTGCACGAAAATAATATGTTGAAATATGATAAGCTTTGGCATGGTGGTTAAGGGTGCTGGACTCCCACATGGTGACTGCAGTTTGAGTCCCGGACCTGGTGGCTTGCTTTCTCTCTCTCTCTTTCTCTTTCTCTCTTTCCCCTTCTCTGGTCAAATTAAGATAAATAAATAAATAAATAAAGTTAAATAAAAATATTAAAAAAAAAAAAAGAAATATGATAAGCTTTAAGCCCAGCCATTAGTGTGTTTAGAGTTTTTACAAGATCAGTTCTGTGAGCCTCATGGTACTATGTAACTTAACCTCATACCAATAACATGAGTATTCCAAAATATGTCACTCTTCTATCTTTCATATGGACACATTTAGACTGCTTGTTTCTAGAGCTTCAAATCATGTAGATTTCACAAAAATACAGCTCTCTTGCTCGCTCGCTCTCTCTCACCCCTTTTGTGTGTGTGTGCGGCATCTGCCTTGCTTTGAAATTACAAGTAAATTACAAGATGAGAGCAAATCAACTCATCATCGTCAAATATAATTTAACCATACTTCTTTCAAAACTGACTAAGGGAAAATAAGCTCTTTTTTAGAATTGCCCATGACTTGATTTCTTCAGAAATGAAAATAAATAATATAGTATGCACATATTTTTAGGTTATAAATTCTGCTTAGTATCTTTTCTCTGCTCAGAATTATTGGATGTACATGTGCCTCCAGATGTGATGGTCTGAGAAAGGTACATTACACTGATATATTATTCCAGCCAAAAAAAGGCACATCTTGAATCTAACCATGAGGAAACAGCCAAAAAAACTTAGATGAATATGTTTTTAAAAAAGGACTCTTTAAAAGTGTTAGTGTCATAAAGATAAAAGATGGCTATAAAATGTTCTAGATTAAAGAAAACTAAAGAAACATGACAACTAAATGTGTTACATAATCCTAGACTGGCTCCTGTACTAGAGGAGAAAAAAATGCTTTTATAAGGGACATTTTGGGTCTGTTGACAAAACTGAAATATAGATGCCAGATTACATAAATGTACTACATCGATGTTAAACATACACAAGGCTAATAATTATGCCAAAAATTGTTAATGAAATATTCCTATTCTTAGGAACTCCACACTGGGGTATAAGAGCAAACACACTGTGAGAGATGCAACTTACCCTCAGATGGCCTAGAATTTTAAAAAAGGGGAGAACATATCAGCAAATGACAAAGCAATGGGATAAAAGGTGCATATGAGCAAAATATGCACAAATTTACACCAGGTGCATCTGAGCAAAATACGCCCAAATGTTCTATGTACTATTCTTATTCTTGTCTCTTCTCAGCAAATTGAAGAAAAATAAAATTGTCAGAGGGCATGTGTGCTCTCCAGAGAAAGAGAGAGAGAGAGGGAGAAAATACCTCCCCCCCCCATAAGGCATGGTCGCAGTCTCCTCTCCTCCACTTATTCATGCTGACAGGATTTGGGGCACACACGTATATGCCAACTGCTGGTCCCTCTAGTGTGTTTTTCAAGCCACCACGTCTGGACTTCTATCAGTGCAGTCAGCTATGTGGGATCTAGTCACCTTAGGTATAATGACACCAGCTGGCCCCAGAAGGATGTTTTCTATTGAAAAAATGACATAAATTTCTAGATTAACACATCAGAACCTATTTAATTTTCACTGTATCATATTTTTCTCTGAGAAATAACAAGCAGTGCCAATTTAAATGTATCCAGTTCTAAATGTTGAGTTTTTTCTCTCCCAAAGCTTTCTCAGTTCATTTGCTCACACCTCTTTTGCACAACTAGACTCACTACAAATACCAAAATGGCCTCCACTGACCTCACTAGCTTTATATGTATATGAACACATAATAGTCTCATTCTCAAAAATGATATATGCTAAATTATATGGAGAAGCAGAAAAATAATAGGAAAATTCATATGATTATAAAATTTTAATTGCAATTGAATGTTATATTTTATCTTTTAACATTAAAAGCTGTAGCGAAATAAATATTAATAACTTGAGTATTGGGGCCAGCAGTGGTGTAGCGGTTAAGGTGCTGGACTCCCACGTGGCCAACCACAGAACAAGTAGCGGAGCCAGTGGTTTGAAACTCACACCAGGTGTGTGTGCATGTGTGCCCAAAATCCCAGAAGGAGAATGGAGGAAAAGGGATTGTGCCATGGCCATGCCCCCTAGGCGGTTTCCCTCTTACTGTCTCTCTCTGTCTCTCTCCAGCGAATACATGCACCCTATGGCAAGACGTTTAAAAATAAATAAATTCTATAAATAAATAAATAAATAACTTGAGTATGGGAAAAATTGATTCCAAATTTTAAAAAAAACAGGAATATCATCAACAGAAATATATTGAGATGTGAATTACCTTTGAAAAGATTTCAGTTTAACTGAATCTCCAGTTAAATCTGAGCTAGGTTATAGTAATGGGATCTGACACAGGCTACCATGAAGTATTTACAATTTTTTATAAGTAATTCTAGTTTAAAATTACAAAGTAATCAAAAGTGAAAAGCTGGAGAGGGTTGAAATCAAAAGAAAATGAAAATATAATCCCAGAAGGAAGCTAATATTGTTAGTCTCTATGTAGATTGCAGAATTAATGCAAAAGAGGAAAATATTTTTCAAAGTTGGCCATTCCAGATGAGTCAGTTCATTAACACTTCGTAAGAAACAGCACTATGATGAACTATATCCAGAAATGCCAGATAGAATGGAATTCCATTACTGAAATTCCCTAGATAAAACTCCTTGATACACTTTCCCGTGAAAGAAAGTAAAAAAGCACCTCACATGGGTAAAGCTCTCATCACAATCCCTTCTTCATTTCTCCCTTCATTCAGAATTTTGGGCATGAACACACACGTGTGTGCTCACTGAGTCTAGGACCGAACTACATGGTTTATCATGTGGGATCCAGCATCCCTAACCACCATGCAGTTAGTTGCCCCAATGTTTATACCTTCATAAGAATGAAAGGCTCAGACGAAGATTTTTCATGGCTCCTGAGAACTAGTGACTTCAGGGTAAAAGAGAAATGAAGATTTCCTACTGATAATTCAGCCTCCAGCCCACAAACCTGAGTGGCAGGAGAGACAAGAGGCAGATCTTCAGATGAAGATTCCTCACGGCTCCTGAGAACTAGTGATTTCAGGATGGATCTAATGGAACTTTAGCCAAACATCCAAATACTATTAGGGTTAATATATTCCTCAATATCTACTGAATCTGGGAACCAGCAGTTAGCGTAATGGCTATGTCGCTGGACTCCCACGTAGTCGACCGCGGTTCATGTCTCGGACGGGGTGGCTTAAAACTCACGCCGGGCGCATGTGCGTGCGTGCCCAAGATCCTGAGAAGAGAATGGAGGAGAAGGGATTGCGGCGTGACCATCCCCCCTGGGGGGTGATTTCTCGCTTTCTGTCTCTATGTCTCTCTCTGTCTCTCTGGCAAGCACA